GGCCTTCCACTGTGGGGCTGGCTCTGCCAGCGTCCCAGCCAGTCACCTTCCCTCGGCGATGGGGTCTGTCACTGTGGGGCTGGCTCTGCCCGCGTCCCAGCCAGTCACCTTCCCTCGGCGACGGGGCCTGTCACTCTGGGGCTCACCACACTGATCCAAGGGAACATGGGCAGAGCCAGGGATTTGTTATTGTCAGCAGCATGGAGCGTTTCCAGCTCCCACAGGCTTCAGCTTTAGCTCTGGGAATATGGTGACAGAGCTTGGCTGAGGGAGCTGGACCTGGGGCTCAGTAAAGCAACTCACACAATCTTAACTGGAAAATTAATTCTAAATGGCCTGGAGAAAAGCAATGCCATGGACAGAGAACTGGATACAAGGCCGTAGACAAGGGGCCTGGGTAGATAGCAATGTATTGGCTCTGTGGGAGGTGTCAAGGGGTGCCCACAGGGATGGGGGCTAGAGCTGCTCTTATATAGCAGCCTCATTAATGGCATCACAGGTCACGTTTTCTAGATCTTTGGTCATTTTTGTTGCTCTCCTTTGGACTTCTCCAATTTGTCCACATCTTTCCCAAAGTGTGGTGCCCAGAACGGACACAGTACTGCAGCTGAGGCCTCACCAGTGCTGAGTAAAGCGGAAGCAGCCGGGGAGCCACACACAGAATAAAGATAAAACAAAATATTGAACAGCTGTCTCGATCCAGCACTGCCCGTCCTGTGCCCTGCTTCCAGAAAAACTCAGTCTGTGATCATGAGGGCGGAAAAAAAATCAGTCTATAATTTAAATACTGCATCATAGTGCAGAGAGAAGGCGACAATGGTCACCTTTTTAATCTCATTTCCCAACATTTCAGTGCCTCACTTTGCAACTTCATTGTTCTGCTAATACACGTTTTTATCTGGAATTAGAGATGCAGACAGATTAATAGGCTTCACATTCCAGAGCGGGAGGTGGGGGGACAGTCCCTGTGTTTACAGCTCTGGAAAGACCCTGGCTGGGAACTCGCATTCAGTTGTGAGCCTCTAGAGCTGAGCAGCTCCCTCCCCTAGTCAAAAAGGGGTTTAAGAGCTCCTGTGGGCTCAGCCAGCCCTGACCCACTGCAACTGCAAGGCTTGTCCATGCTGGAGAAGGGCAGGTCCTTGGAAGGGGGATCTCAGCTCAGGCTGGGGGGCATTCAGAACCAAACAGCTAGTGTGGAGCTCCCTGGCCCCAGGGACCAGGGGCTGCCCGCTGGGGAAGCGGCTTGAGAACACCAGCCAGCCGAGCTCTCTGAGGAAACGGAGGGACCAGCTTTTCTGTATTTTTGGGACTCAGGCTATGTCTACACTCCGGCGGTGAGTCGACCTACGCTACGCAACTCCAGCTATGTGAATAACGTAGCTGGAGTCAACGTACCTTAGGTGCAGTACACCAGGAAAGGAGCCCAGCATTACAACCTGTGAAAGGCAAGACCCAAAGGCACATGACCATGGGGGAAAGGGTCAGTCAGTAACCTGACTCCTGCAGGGTCACCTCTGGAAGATGTTGGGGGAGACGACAGGAGTACAGGGTATTAACGGGCCCTGGTGATACCCTGAACAGCTTGAGGGAAAGCGAGGAAGTGTGAACGAGGAGTGAGAAGGCAGGTCAGGAGTTTGGGAGAGTTTGACCCTGAACCATGTGTCCCCAGGCAGTGCAGGGAGGAGCAGGGCTGGGGAAGAGGGCCAAAGACCCACTGTGTCCCCAGACCAGGTGCTGAGCTGGGAGAGGGGCAGTGCTGGAAAGCCTCCAGGCAAGCCTGAGAGCATGGTGGCTCTGATAAGCCAACACAGCAACTCCACCCCAGCCTTGGGCGAGATAAGAGGCAGTTCTCTGAACAGTCACATGAGCCCAGAAGCAGCCTGGTCCCTGCGATAACCCCCAGCTCCTGCCTCAGCCCATGGACTGGTGCTTCTCCACAGCTGTCTCCTGCCTCCCCCTCTGGCAGCGCTGCCAGGACTTGCTCTATCCCCTCTGCAGTGGGCTCAGCTTCTATCAATGGCTCTGCAATAACCCCAGGACCTCGCTGCCTTTCTGTGAGGCTGCAGGGCCCAGGGATAGGGTAGCCACTGCCAAATCCTAGAAACAGCCTCCTGCAGAGGGACTCTGGGGGGCCCAGCATGCCATCCAGAGTGGCATGGAGGAAAAGGGGGTTTTGCAGACATACCACGCTGGAGCCCAAGGGAGAAAGTTAATCCATAAACCAGGAGGGGATGGAATTAATCCCTCCAGGTGCCTCCCTGAGCAGCCTGTTGGCTGTTGCTATGATATATTGGACCTTGACCTCAGACTGTTTAGGGCAGGGGTAGGCAACCTATGGCACGCGTGCCGCTGAGCTGATTTTCAGTGGCACTCACACTGCCCGGGTCCTGGCCACCAGTCCAGGGGGCTCTGCATTTTAATTTAATTTTAAATGAAACTTCTTAAACATTTTAAAAACCTTATTTACTTTACATACAGCAATAGTTTAGTTATATATTACAGACTTATAGAAAGAGACCTTCTAAAAACGTTAAAATGTATGATTGGCACGCGAAACCTTAAGTTAGAGTGAATAAATGAAGACTTGGCACACCACTTCTGAAAGGTTGCCGACCCCTGGTTTAGGGTATGGAACAACGTAATGAAGGGCCTGTTTACACAGAGCCAGGAGACATTTCTGAGGCCTCATCAGCCTAGGCATGCAACATGGTAAAGTCCCGTCAACACTACACATTACAAACGTGTAAATGAGCAAATGAGGCCCCCATTTTCCAAAAAGGAAATCATACAGGAACTGCCACACTAGGTCATATGCTGAGGTAACTCCCAATCTGTGCCCACCCCAGCAACCAACAGTTCCAGCTGCTTCAAAGAAAGATGAAAGAAACGCTGAAGTGGGCAATTATGGAATAATCCTTTTCTGAATCCTGCCACGCTCTTGGTCACAATTATACCTTGAGGCATAGAGTTCCACAGGCTAGCTAAGGACCATTTAAGAAGATTGAGCTTGGTAATTACCACACAGTAAGGCTATCTCCACACCCTAGCAAAACAAAAGAGAAAAATCTGTAATGGCCTTTGAGAAAGCAGAAACAATAAGCAATATTAGCCAGGCTAACCTGTTCTGTGTGATCACATTACACAGTTAGCAGGCAAAGAGAAAATAAGAAAGAAAATATTTTGATTTCAGTGAAGTATTTGATCCTGCAGCTCATGAAAACACTCTCAGCAATAATTCAGATTGGCTTGGATACAGAACGGTCATGCAAGTGCAAGGTCCCAAATAAAGGGTCATAACAAACAGCGTGGTATTGAGCTGAGGGGAGGTGTCATGGGGGAGCAGCAGGGATCGGAGTTAGCTCTGTTGTGATTTAACATCTCCACTAATGATCAGGGAGAAGAGGGATAAACAGCCTTTGATGACATTCATGCACAGGCAATACAGAACTGGGAGGAGCAACGAATCCCAGTGAGGCCACAGAAATAGCAGGGTTAGAGCCAAGGCCAGGAAATAACAGGATGGGATTCAACCTTCGGCAACGTATCCACATCGCCCGAACCCCACTGGGACGGAGACACCGGAGAGCAGGAGAGTCCAAGAGAGGGAGCAGGGTATGTCTACACTGCAGTTAGACACCCATTGCCTCGGGCTCCCGAGGCTCAGCTCAGGGGCTGTTTAATTGCAGTGTAGAGGGCTTGGGCCACGGCCTGAGCCCTGGAACCCTCCCACCTCATAGGGTCTCAGCGCCTGGCCTCCAGCCTGAGTCCGAACATCTACACTGCAATGAAACAGCCCCTTAGCTGGAGTCAGCGGCTACGGGCCAGCCGCAGGTGTCTAACTGCGGTGCAGACATACCCCCAGAGGCCTTCCCTCCTAGGGCAGGGAGGGGTGTGTGTCTGTCCAGCTCCGAGGAAACACACCCACCCTAAAGCTCAGCTCCAGGCTTTCAATCCGGAGCAGGGAGGGCAGAGTCCCTCACTATCCAGTTCTGGGGAGCCCCCCCCAGACCCCACAATTTCCAAATGGTAAAGTAACATCCAGAGGCTGATGAGAAAGAGGAGCCATCTTCCAGTGGGGCTGGGGCAACTCCCAGTGAGAACCCCACTGTTCGCCTCCACCCTTCCCCTTGGTGCGGAGTGGGATGGCTGGGACCTTCCCTCTTTCTTTCCTTTCTCCCTGTGCCCCCCGCTGCCGCAGGAGACCTCTCTATTGCCTGGTGGCTGCTAGGAGAAGGGGACTGCGCCTCACTCTCTCCCCTACTCCTGAAAACAGGGGGCATGGATTTGCCCGCTCTCCTCCCTGTCTCCTGCTGCCAGGGATCCATGAAGTGGAGGCGGTGTGAGGGGAAACGTTCCCTGGGCAGACAGCAGCGTAGTACAGCACAGCAGCCCCTGATTCTGGGACAAGGCCTGGCCAGGGAGCCCCCGCTGAGGCGATTGGGGTGGCTCCAGGGGGCACTGCAAGGGATCTGGCATTGCTGAGACAGCTCTGGGATGGGTGTTGGGAGATGTGGTTAAACAGGGTCTGGGCCCAGCTAAGCAGGGTCAGAATCCCAGCTCCCACATGGAGCCAGGCCCAAGCAAGGAGCCTGCCAAGGGCCAAATCCCCTGGTGGGGAAGGATGATCCCACCTTGGGATGTCCCTGGACTTTGGCTGCCTAGAGCCGACCATTTCTTGGGTGGCATGAAGCCCCTTTGAACCCCTCCCTCACGCTCAAACCTTCCCTTGGTGTCAGCCAGGCTCCAAACATCCCAACCACGCCCAATTGTCACAGGGTCCCATCTCCCCTCTTCCTGCTGCTGCCCTGCAGGACTCTTCTGAGCTGGGGGAAGCCAACTCTGCTGACAGGAGTTAGGGTGGCTGAGAGCTTCCCCTGACGCTACAGCTGGGGAGCCTGTGCTGAAACTCATGCTGGCGACAGCACCTAGAATACAGGACGCAGGCCTGGGCACCGGGCACCAGAGAGGAGGACCTCCTGAAGCAGCTCTGGGAAGGACAGCAACAAAGATTGGCCCAAGAGGTTAAGCATTAACGGTATTTGGCAAACCAGAGGGGACCTGGGGGATTAATGAGGCTGACACACAGGGGTAGGAGGACTGCGGGGAACCCTGCCAGAGCCTGAAGGATACACTGCAGGGAATGCTTCTGCCCATAGGCATCGACTCCGTGGGTGCTCCGGGGCTGGAGCACCCATGGGGGGGGGGAAATGGTGGGTCCAGAGCACCCACTGGCAGCCCCCCTATCAGCTCCCCCCCAGCACCTCCCACCTGCCGGTGGGCCCTGCGGATCAGCGCCTCCCCCTCCCTCCCTGTGCCTCCTGCCTGCTGCGATCAGCTGTTTCACAGCATGCAGGAGGCTGGGGGGTAGAGGGGAGGACATGGCACGCTCAGGGGAGGGGGCAGGAAGAGGCGGGGTGGGGCCTTGGGGAAGGGGTGGAGTGGGAGCAGGGCCTGGGGCAGAGCCAGGGGTCGAGCACCCCCCAGCAGTTTGAAAAGTCGGCGCCTGTGCTTCTGCCCTGACCCCAGGGCTGAGGAGCTGGACCAGGTGGGTCCTTATCCTCTCCTTTGAGAGGGGCGGTGCAGGGAGCCTTGGGCCTGGGGCTGGCCAGACCCAGGCGGGTGGGCGCTTTCCTGCTTTGCCTTTTTGCTGGAATGCGAAGTGTTTTCGTCTGAGGCAAAGTCATAGTTTTAATCCCACGTGTGGTTTATGTGGGCACCTGTGGCTCCCGCAGGAGCTGCCAGCCAGCCCTGTGTGCAATCACAGGCAGTCTGAACAGCGTACAGCAGGAAGGAAAAGCCAGCAGAGAAACTGGGGAGGAACCAGGGCAGGGCTCCAGGACGGTGCTTAGGGGAGGGTCAGAGTCATTGGAACAGTGCCCAGCTGGGGAGGGCAGGCTCATATGGCGCCCAGGGTGAGGTAGGCCCAGTGCCCAGGGAACAGCGCCCCTAGGACCATGCCCTGGGAAGCTGGGAATGGACCTGGATTCATTCTATCCTCCCTTTGGTACCAAAGCCCATGTTTCACATCCTGGCAGAGTCTGCTGCATTAGCAGGCTCAGCCTGCCTGCCCTGGTACACAGACCTGCCCAAAGCAGGCTTTGACGACGCACTGATTAAAAGGCCATGCTGGCCAGCGTGTACTACTGCTCCCCCCGCTCACCTCGGACAGCAGCACCCACGCGAGTAAAAGCAGCAAAGTCTGAGATAAACTGCCCATGTCTGCCCAGCCTCAGGATGAACAGCCCTCTCGGGGACTGATAACCCCAGCCAAGGCCCTGCGGCGTGACTGCCGCAGAGCACAAGGCAAACACTCCCTGCAGCCCCCTTATCGGAGCTGGAGCCAGCTGGGCTGGACTCTGAAGTCAGGGCACAAGGACAGGAGAGATCACGGGGCCAGCCGCAGGTACTGGGGGAGGGGACTCTGGAAGCCAGGCAAGGAGATCAGAGGGTGGCCAGGGTCAAGGAAACACCAGGTGCTATTAGGGCATCTCACAGAACCCGTTGAACAGCTGACTCGCTTTGGGGTGAGCACTGGCATACGGGACTGCGTAAGGGAGGGGGCACCACTTTCAAGGGGGCAGCTGCCATTTTGCGTTCCGTTTGCATGCACAATGTTGGAGTCAGTCGCTGTGCGCGCCTGCTCACACGCACTCCTTTGGTTTTGGTGCTGAGAGTGTTCAGGCTCCTCTATTAACCCCTTATGCTCCATTTCATCCAGCTCCTGTGGCAAACAACAGGCTTTATACATGCCCCCTCCCCCCACCACTGTTAGGGAAAGCTTCCCTTGTCCCTGGCTCCAGTGCCATTTGCCTCTGCACAAACATACCTCCTTCATTACACTGAAACCCATACATACGGGGCCATGAAAGCAGAAGCTCCTTTGTGGGTAGTTCTCTGAAAACACCTACTCAGTGTGCCGTGCCAGTCAAAAAAAAAAGAAAAGAAAAGCTAAGAGAATGTTAGGAACCATTAGGAAAGGGATGGATAATAAGACAGAAAATATCATAATGCCACTATATCAATCAATGGTACGCCCACACCTTGAATACCGTGTGCTGTTCTGGTCTCC